TCAGTTTATTCATTACTAGTAAGGGACTACAATAACTTTTAAAAAAAACATTTCTGTTTCTGGCTCTACTTCACATGTAATAGACACATGCAATAGACACCAGATGCCCTGGAGGCCTGGCTCTGTGGTGAACAGGGAGTATGTGTGTCAAATATTTACCAATGTGAAAGCTACAAAATGGTATTTCTAAATGTGTGCTAAAGGCCAGGGGAACGTGACTGGCTCCATCTCTTTCATAGAACAAAGAAACCACGAAAGGAAGTTGGGAAGACCATGTAGCCCCAGCAGATTTGTATCAAAAGGAAACTAGCACATAGAGGCTGCTATTCCATATCAGTGTGACAGAGAATTATCCTTCGTTCCCTTTACAGTGGTTAGTGGAATAAAATCTGGATTTTAATTGAAGACATTATAGTTAACTTTGGACTTTTGGTTATGGGTTCATAAACCATGTCCACCTGGTTTATGAAGCTCTGAGGAAGTGTGGGGGACTCATGCATCACTTTCACTATGAGTCTGTCTTATTATCTGGTTTGTTAACTAACATTAAGCCAGAATTTCCAAGTGTAATGAGGAACTCTGGTTTAATCTGTACCAAAGTCAATATGTAAGGAGACAAAAGAAAGGGATAAAGGTCACGGCATGTACCTGCAATGTCACAAACTATGGCTCATGGTTTATGAAGTCTTGGATCAATTTTAAAACATAGTTAATAAAAATCTGCATGAAAAATTAACATGAATGAATTGAACAAGAGGCTTTGCATTGGAGTAATTATGCACCAAGAGCCAGAAGGCCATTTTTGGCACATGCTGATACTTGATAAGCTAGACAAAGCTGTGGGGACTGGAGGCCAACTCCCCTCTCCTTGTGGTCTAACACACTTCAGAACCCATCCAAAACCATGTTGCATCACTTCCCACTACCATTTTAAGGTAGTTCCAGTGAAAGAGAAGCATTTGGAAATTTTGGAGTGGAGGGGGATAACTGTGTTTTTGTATATTTTAAAAATATTTGTTAGGCTACTACTATTGCTTTGATGTGAAAGTCACCCAAAATTATGCAGATTTTAAAAAAAATGCCTGTGTTGGGAGGCTTCAAGGGGATTGGCGGAAAGTCCAAGAACCCCATACAGAGCTGAGGAATCATATGGGACCTGTGGGTGCACTTTCATAATTTCTACTCTAGATGCTATTTTTGGCTAGAAAAGTGATTTTTTGCTGAATTTGTGCGGATCCAGATGGACCCTCTCCCTCATGAGCCATACATTTCCCATGGGTACCTATAAACGGGAATAGTATAATATACCGATAAAGAGTATGTAAGCCAATACTAACTCAAGAGATACTGGATGTGAAAATCTGAAGACATGCAGAAATTGGTACATGAGTGTGTGCCTTCAGGTTGCCTGTCAACTTATGTCAATCTTGTGACTTTCTTAGGCACTAAATACTCAGAAGTTGTTTTGTTAGTTCCTTTCTTCAAAATATAACCTACAGCACTTGACATTTGTTGTTGGTGTCCCATCCAAGTATTAAAGAGCTGACCCCACTTAGCTTCCAGGAGCTACTGGTGGTGCAATGGGTTAAACCCTTGTGCCGATAGGACTGAAGACCGACAGGTCGCAGGTTCGAATCCAGGAGAGTGCAGATGAGCTCCCTCTGTCAGCTCTGGCTCCCCATGCAGGGACATGAGAAGCCTCCCACAAGAATGGTAAAACATCAAAACATCCAAGCGTCCCCTGGGCAATGTCCTTGCAAACAGCCAATTCTCTCACACCAGAAATGACTTGCAGTTTCTCAAGTCCTCCTGACATAAAAAAACTCCTTAGCTTCCAAGGTGAGTTTCCAAAATCAGATGGGATCTGGTACCTTAAGGGTATTTAGGCAAGTATATTTACAAACACAATTAAAAAATGAAAAAAATAATTCTGCATATGACTCTGGGAAATTATATACATGTATTTGCATATGAATGGGTTTGTAAATGCACTTATCTAGGTATATTATCTAGGTTTAGGTTTGCAAATAACAAGTTTGGTATGAGTATTCCTTGCCAAAGATCCTATGAAGTTCATTGGGTCATCCTAAGTTGACTGGCAACTTAAAGATACATACTTTATGCTTACATCCATAGAGCAGTATTACACCTACTGGGGTCACCAATACAAAGGGCAAATCAGTGTCTGCAAGTTTGCTGTGCTCTATTGCCTTTCCAATTGCCTTGATTTTTACCCCTCTTCCAACTTTTAATTACCCAGGGGAATTAGTGCTCTTTGCTGTCTTGGTGGATCTCCAGTGCTGTTAACAGTGGGGGGATCAGACCTAGTTCCACCCTGAGATGAATGCTGGCTGGTTTGTTTCGAAGCCACTTGGTAGCTGGAAGAAAAAGAGGCAGGAAGGAATATTAACAGGTTAAGAGGCCACGCCTGCTCTGCTCCACTTCCATCTGTGAGGAGAAACCAAAGAGACATTAGCAAGGAGGGAGGCACATCCGATAAGACTTACCCTCCCATATGGCCCCTGGTCCCAATGGAAAGTGTACAAGACACCAAAAGATAAGGAGTATCCTTCTCCTCAAACACACCCCACGCAACACAAAGTAGGAAAGGAGGAGGTGTAAATGAGTTGCTGACCCAGGAAGGAGGGACACTCTCAAGCCAAGCTTGGCATTTTTAGTCACAATCATTCGACTTGGGAAGACATTAAACTGTGGTCAGGATCCCTGGTGCAAGATGAAAGGCATTGCAGTTTGGATTTTTGCAGCTATTCTAAAATTAGGAGTAATTTTATTCCATCAAACAAGAGATCTCATTTTGAGAAGCAAACACATCTGAACAACCCAAGTATGGCCTATCATTCACATATGAGTGAAGAGATCAGGCTAAGGAGTTGTTGTCATACCATAATGTTTACTAGGTTTATTCCAGTTGTATGAATGAAACAGGCTAGGTGCAGAAGAGAAGAGCCCCCTCATGAGATAAAAAGGTTCCCACTGTTCTTTTATGCTCCAGAGTGCATGATGATCATTTCTCGAACCACAGAATAAAATAGTCCTGTATTTTTTTGAATGTCACATCTTGTTACCTTTGAGAAAAATGATAGCACATGAATGCTTTCTCAGGGTGAATTGCTTAGAATGCTCACTCTTATTTTTCCTATTCATCAAGGAAGAATATAGTTCCTTTTTGACCTCTTGTTTGGAGAAAGATAGGTTTGTGCTTAAAAAGACATGAAAGTGATGGCACAAGTACATGTATACCCACACATGTCCACATTCCACAATTATGCATGTACATACATGCAGAGCCACCAATATGCTGCTATTTAATTCACACATCCTGTGTGAGTATTCATAAGGAGACTCCTAAATAAGAATATATATCATATGTCTATGAGCATTCCGAACATAAATGCAAGCAACTATCTTAGCCCTGGCGTGCAATGACCAGCAATGTCTTTGGGGAAACCATTGTCATGTTCAGTCTAGCCTACTGTGTGGTAACACCCCTGCCTCCTGCTGCCATGGCTGCTACACTGAAATCAGGTTCCCACCTCCCAGATGGTACCTGTATCCCTAATGCAAAGGCAACCCCCAAGCACAGACACAGAAGCATGCATGTGTAAATGCACTATGAAGTTTGTGCACATGCAGTGCACACAAACATGGAGATAGGTATCCATCCAATTGAGCAGACAAATCCTCTGTACCACCCATATGGGCATACAGGTCATATATGCATGGATTCTATGCATATAAATTCAGAGCATGTGAAACACTGATGTATAGATTTAGCATACCCAGTGTATTTACCATATAAAGACTGACACAATGCACCAAAGATATTAAAGATAAGCCAAATGCTATAGAATCGCACATATCCTCACAAATTAACACAAACAACTACTGCAAACATAACGTGCACAACAAGAGCATGTATCTCAAACACCTACACCTTGCTTATGCAGGCATGTGTGGGCTCACATATACTCATTGATCTTATTTCTTCTATAGTCGTTTACTACTCAGAATTTTAGATTTTCTTAAATTATGTGAAGAGCATTCTTTCTATATAATCCTGCTGTCATTACAGTTATCCAGGAGAAAGGGTGGATCTCAGCAAAAATCAATCCTAGATACTGAAATGGAAGAGAGTCGTGGTCAATCTGATTAAGCCCCAGAATTCCTCAGGGCTCTTCCACACAGCCCCATATCCCAGAATATCACGGCAGAAAATCCCACATGATCTGAGTGTGAACTCAGATAACCCAGTTCAAAGCAGATATTGTGGGATTTTCTGCCTTGATATTCTGGGATATAGGGTTGTGTGGAAGGGCCCCCAGACAATGTAGAAGGGACCAAAATAGCAGGGAGATTCTGGAAGCTGCAGTTCAAAACAATTACTCTTGCAAACTCTGCTTTGTCCCTCCCCCCCCCCCCCCCCCCCCCCGAAAGGGTTCTTGATTCAGGTAACAGCATATAAGTGGAGCTGGGGTTCAACATTCTATCCTAAACATGGCCCAAGAAATTATACTGCTGAGAAATATTATATCCAAAATTTGGAGCCAGAAAATGTATTAACCCGTTAAGTGTTCAGTGTGGAGAACTGTTAGAGACACTATGGATATGGCTGCCCAAACACTATTTGAGTGATAGAGTTGCAGATGGAAACCATGAACCCCATGATTCCATTATCCAGACTGAACCATTCACTCTTTGCAGGATGGAGGTGTTTTGGCCAACTCCGCCATTGTTCTAATAACTGAATTCCTCTCTCTGGCACAACAGGCACAGATGTCCAAGTTCCTTGTTTTGTTTCAATCTTTTGTTAGCAGTCCCTATAAAATATATCATGCTCCCATGCTTTATGGCAGAATTGTCTAGGGAAATATTAGGGGACAGCCTGCAGCATCTCTCCTTCCTGGGTCAAGCAGGGACCATAATTAGATCATGAACAGAAATCAGGAGAAGCATCAGAGTACAATGAGAAATGGACTCACTGTAGGGGACACAGTCATACTGGACCTCCAGGTACTTGTAGGTGCCAGGACAAGGGTCTGGAAAAGCATCTGAGCCAGCCACCACGACACACTGTGTCCGATTATTACACCTGAAAGACAAAAATGAGAAAGAGACTGTGAAACCAATAACATATAATGCAGCTGTAAAAGTAGCCACTAGATGGCACTGACTGACACCCAGAATTGCTCAGTGATTTTCAGAGTCTTTGAAAAACTGCTGCACAGCTATTTTGTCTGGGAAACAGATTATAATCTCAGGACTAAAGCGTTTGGCAGCGATTAGGAGGCACAACAACTACTGGGATAATCAAAAGACATTTTTCTCATAACGTGAAGAATCCTCTGCTATCCAACCTCATTTCTGATCTGGTCTGAAAGCAAAAAGATGTCTGGACTTGGAAGACATCTTATTAGCTCTCTGACTGTCTCCTCTTACTAAAACCATCCAAGCGTTATGGTTTGTATTATGAGGAGCCTCTCTTTGAACACAAAATATACCTAACAGCCTTCGTGCATGTGCAAAGAAAGTGCCACAAATTCAAACAAAAACTATTTCATATATTTAGCACTCACTCATAAATCCAAAAGACCCATGCATATGATAGCAAGCTATAGCCCTTTGTCTGAACCCAAACAACATCAAACATGTCTTTGTAGAAGCACTCAAGAAGACATATAACTCCCATATTTCACTGACACTTTTTGGCTCTTCAGACACATCTGGCAGAAGTTAAATGTTCTTTTCTATACCCGCACCACCAGACAATGGCTCAATCCAGCCCAATACTACCACATCCTTAAGAAATTGCTGTACTTATATACCACTTCATAAAAGAGAATAGATTCATTGGATAGGGTAGGGGGACTTTTAATATCTGACATCTACATCAGCAGTGTGGAGCAAGGGAATCCCTTTGGAATGGTTTATTTTTCTGACTCTTTCACACATCAATCCAGGCCACACGACTGGTAGCTCAAACAAGCTGTCTTCTCACACAACCTATTGCTAAATCATCTGATCTCTCCCCATCCAGCCTTACTCCAGTCTGGAAGGGTAACTAAGAAGCACTGCCCCGCCATTCCCACTTCGTTAGCTTCTGCCACCTGCTCTCCTTTGAAAGGCTGATGCAACAGGCAAGGGAGGTTGGAAGGGGGGCTCCCAGGGGCTGTAGGCTGCCAAAGCAACTGGAGCCAGCATAAGCTCAGACCCCCCTGAGACACAGACCTGCCATCACCTGCTTCAATGAAGTTGAGGTTGCTGATGGGCAGGATGAGGATTAGATTGGCAAGGTTTCTACCTCCAAAGAAGCCCCATCAAGGGTTCCGTCAGTTTCTCAGTTCTGGCTGGGCAAGCGAGTCACCCATGAAATTCCTTGCCTTGAAGCAGGACTTCTTAAACTTTTTCCACTTGTGACCCTTTTCTGCCCAAGACATTTTCCGCAAGCCTAGATATCTCTATATATATAAAAATGCTCTATGCATAATGAGTACCTTAAAAACAAAAGAACCAATGAACGAAATCACACCAAAATTGGCAACAAAACGTCTCACAACACAAGGAGTGACCATCACTCAAAAAATTATGATTTTGTCATTTGGGAGTTGTAGTTGCTGGGATTTATAGTTCACCTATAATCAAAGAGCATTCTGAACTCCACCAACGATGGAATTGAAGCAAACTTGGCACACAGAACTCCCATGACCAACAGAAAATACTGGAAGGGTTTGGTGGGCATTGACCTTGAGTTTGGGAGTTGTAGTTCACCTACATCCAGAGAGCACTGTGGATTCAAACAACGAAGGATCTGGAACAAACTTGCCACGGATACTCCATATGCCCAAATATGAACACAGATGGAGTTTGGGGGGAAATAAGACATATAAACCTTGACGTTTGGGAGTTGTAGTTACTGGGATTCATAGTTCACCTACAATCAAAGAGCATTCTGAACCCCACCAATGATAGAATGGGGCCAAAATTCCCACACAGTCCTCCATGACCAACAGAAAATGTTTTCTGGTGGTCTTTGGCAATCCTTCTGACACCCCCTCATGACCCCCCCTGGGGTCCCAACCCCCAGGTTGAGAAATGCTGCCTTAAGGGCATCCAGTCCAACTCCCTTCACCAGGGCAAGAAAACATAATCAAAGCCCTCTTGACAAAGGGCTGTCCAGCCATAGATATAGATAGATATATATGATTCACACACACACACATATATGTATGTGACAGATAAAGTATCATAGATTTAAAAGGGACCTTTAAAGGACAATAATACGTTGCATGTTCCAGAGTGGGCAAACCAGACAATCTCCACATCAACAATGACAAAGAAACAACAAGAAATACTGTGTACTCACAAGCACAAAGACATTACATATATTAGAAACCAACAGTTTCTCATTACTTTATTTTCAAGATCAGCAGACTGGGCCACAGCAACGCGTGGCAGGGGACAGCTAGTATCTATATATATAAAAATTCTCTGTGTGTAATGAGTACCTTAAAAACAAAAAAACCAATGAACGAAATCACACCAAATTTGGCAACAAAACATCTCACAACACAAGGAGTGACCATCACTCAAAACATTATGATTTTGTCATTTGGGAGTTGTAGTTGCTGGGATTTATAGTTTACTTACAATCAAAGAGCATTCCAAACTCCACCAATGATGGAATTGAACCAAACTTGGAACACAAGACTCCTAAGACAGAAAACACTGGAAGGGTTTGGTGGGCATTGACTTTGAGTTTGGGAGTTGTAGTTCGCCTCCATCCAGAGAGCACTGTGGACAATGAGGGATCTGGGTCAAACATGGCACAAATATTCCATATGCCCAAATATGAACACAGATGGAGTTTGGGGGAAATAGACCTTGACATTTGGGAGTTGTAGTTACTGGGATTTATAGTTCACGTACAATCAAAGAGCATTCTGAACCCCTCCAATGACAGAATTGGGGCAAACTTCCCACACAGAACCCCCATGACCAACAGAAAATACTGTGTTTTCTGGTGGTCTTTGGTGACCCTTCTGACACCACCCTGGTGACCCCTCTTAAGGCAGCATTTCTCCCAGGTTGAGAAATGCTGCCTTAAGGCCATCTAGCCCAACTCCCTTCACCAGGGCAAGAAAACATAATCAAAGCCCTCCTGACAAAGGGCCATCCAGCCATTCACACACACACACATATATGACAGATGCAGTATCAAAGATTTGAAAGGGATCCCATGTTGCATGTTCCAGAGTAGGCAAACCAGACAATCTTCACATCAACACTGACAAAGAAACAACAAGAAATACTTTTAGCCCACAAGCATAAAGACATTACATATATTAGAAACCAACATTTTCTCATTACTTTATTTTTCAGATCACCAGACTGGGCCACAGCAACGCGTGGCAGGGGACCGCTAGTAGGTATATAAAACAGATATTAAATGATATTAAATATCTTAAGACAAGAGGGGGCCACTTTACACCGGCAGTGCTTAAACTGTTTGAAGCTAAGTCATTAGCCCAACTCTTGTATGGTGCTCAGCTGGGCCCCTTCCCCAGTTTTGCCCCATTAGAGCTGGTTCAGTCAAAGTTTCTGAGATTGGGCTTGCAAGTACCTAAATGCGTTTCTAATGCCACCCTGCGACTAGAGACTGGCTTTATGAGGATGGAGGCCAGGGTGTGGGTAGCCATACTCAACTTCTGGCTCCGACTATCCCGTGCACCCCTTGGTCTTGCCACACTAACGATGGAGGATGACTTCCAATCTACATGGAAGCAAGCAGTAGCATCCAAGCAGAGGCTGGATGGCCATTTGTCAGGGGTGATTTGAATGCAATATTCCTGCTTCTTGACAGGGGGTTGGACTGGATGGCCCATGAGGTTTCTTCCAACTCTTTGATTCTATGATCTCCTCATTGGGATTTTCTCCAGTTCTACTATTTGCTATGGATTACAATCAAGCCAAAGCACTTATATACAAGCACCCAAGCCATTCAGGACAATTTTATACCTCCCTGCTACTTGCAGATACTAATTCAGCTACAACCTACAATGTTGCAAAGTTCTGTGCAGCAGCATATAAAATCCATCAGGGGATGACTAGTCCCAAAAGTTAACTGTGTGTCCAGTAATCATCTTCCCTGAATTTACAACTCGGTGATGGATCTGTGCATTGTATGTTTTTACCGTTTCCCCCTCCGCTCCTTCACCCACATTGTGCTTCAGTAGTTATATTTATATTTTTAATGTACTAAATGTACCAAGTTTGTATGAAAATGTGATTTCTATTTCCTGTGCTGGTCTATGACCGAAATAAATGATTTGATTTGATATGAAATGAAATATTTAAAATGATACACCAGCATTTGCAAGGCTTACTAAACAGGCTGATTTTCCTTTTTGTGGAGTTAAGCTGAAGTATTTTCTACAGAGTCCACTGTAAACACTGCACATTGTTACTAACTGATTTGTGTAGATTGGTAGCGGTCAGAAACCTTTTACTGTTGCCAATTTTTTGTGACTCCAACTTTGAGCTAATGGGACTCCATTTGGGGTCAGGACCCACAGTTTAAGAAGCAGTGCCTTCAAGTATGCATTCAAAAGGATCCCACCCCATAATTTAAAGATGTTAATGTAGAGCAATGGTTCTCAACCTGTGGGTCCCCAGATGTTTTGGCCTACAACTCCCAGAAATCCCAGCCACTTTACCAGCTGTTAAGATGTCTGGGAGTTGAAGGCCAAAACATCTGGGGACCCACAGGTTGAGAACCACTGATACAGAGGTAGAGTGCTGCAGTACATCTGACTGCAGACATACATGAAAGTTTGGGAGGGGGAGAATGGAAAGATAAGGAAAAGTCAGGGAGAAAGGCAGAAGTACAAGCTACTGGGGGGTGGGGGGCTATACCTTCAAATGAGAATTCTGTTCCCCTCTCATGCAATTTTCCTTCAGTCCCCCAGCTTTTACCGCTGCAGAGAATGAGAGGTTGAAAATAGTTCACAACCAGAACTCTTCTATTTATGGTGTTTGCTTTTTCTCTTGATAATTTTGCCTCTCCATTTTCTTCAGATGCTAAACTGTATTTCT